AACCCTATTATGAACAGTTGATATGAACCCTATTATGAACAGTTGATATAAACCCTATTATGAACAGTTTAGTCTGAATAGGGTAACACCACAAGTCACATGGTCTGTGTACATTGAGCTTGAAAGAGTTGCATTAATAACGGGAAAAATTGCTGCGATGACCTATTGCTATATACAAAAACATATACCTAGAATGCGGAAGGCCTTGGAATATACAGTGAGCAGCAGTTAGAACCCATCGTGGTGCAATAAGAGTTCCACCACAGAAGAAAAAACCAGAGATCTTTATTGCAACCTGCCACGGCCAGGACCCTGGGCGCGCATCTACACCTCCAATGATACGTGCTGGTGGAATGGCAGGAACACCGCAACTAACTGAAGATCAAAATATTAAACTAAATTAGTTTTAAATCTTTGCAAAGTAGACGATTTGGAGTACATGCATGGCTATTGGCTCACCGTTTTGAGGAGGGTGAGGAGGAAAGGTTGGTGGAGGACTGGGAAGGACAGTAGGCTGTGCAGTAGGCTTAGCACAGCTCGGTGTAATATCACATACATCCTTGTCAATGGAATAGTATTCCTGAAATCCAAAGTCATCAAGAGCGATATCTGACCTGAAGGAATTGCCAATAACAGCTTCGTATTCAATCTATAAATAGATTTAGTAAAAAAAAAAACAATAGTGTGAGGTACATTTCCTAATGAGAAGAAATTCAAAGAAACGAAGACAGAAAGAAAAAATGTATAAATTATTCAAAAATAACAAGATATAAATGTTACCTTATACATTCCACTAGCACTTAATTGAACAGGAATAGTAGCCTTTGTCCATTGATTGCCTTGGTTACCGTGTAGTTCCCACTCCAATCGGTCGTTAACATACACTTTAAGTGTACCCATATCAGCACCGAACATGTGGTAGCGAAAGAAAAGACAAGCGCTGTGACGTAAGAATAGGTACGTATGCATACGCGCTCGGGAACCTGGGATTTGACCTGATGCTTCTGCATAGATGTATTTACCTAATAATAA